AACTGTGGTCTGTCTTCGCGCCACATCTTAGCCGCGTCCACATTAGCTCCGGACTCGTCGTTAGGCTCGGCCAACATCGACACCACAGATAACAACACTTTCTCGACACTCTGAACGGGTGACCAGCGCTCAGCACTCGACTCATAGCCCATCGGGTCGTCTCCCGGCGCGTGAAGTATTGATATACAGACTCTTCCGTCGGCGTAGATATTCGGGTGAAACATATCGGATATGAATTGCATTTTTGGCGGTGAAAGCGGATAATCGTTGGGAAAAGTCAATCGCGCTGTGAATACTCCGCCATCAAAACAAGTGCCCTCTGGACCTGTGATGAGCGCTTCCCACTCAAAGAAGTTCTCCTCGTCGATGGGTCCGGCAATTATGCCTTCGGGCGGATTCAATGTCAACTGCTTGTACTCTGCCATCAGTCGTCGCAGAGCTGATCCCGCCATTTGCTCCTATCGTAGTTAACCATTGATTATCATATCATAAATAAAAGTCAAGTGTTTGTCAATCATTTACCAAATGTATTGTAATTACTGTAGAGTTAAAGGGATCTGTACTGAAGGTCAGGCACTGACAACACTGACAACAAAACAATGTCACACAATATGTGTTATACTTATGGCAAACACTTCACTCACAATCAGATCAATTGTTTGATATGACAGGTATTTACAGCGACGACAACCACAAGTCCACAACCAATGCATTCATTGTCATATCAATTGCTTATCAATAGGTTTGTCATCATTTCATACATTCAATCACATGTTGCGAGTGTTGGTCTCGAGTCCAACATATCGTTTGCTATACTTATAGAGTGTATCACATATTTGGGGGCAGTTTTGGCACACAATATGGTAACAGTATATGTGATGAGTCCATATGAGGATAGGCTGTCATAGAGTCTATGACTGAGTGTTGTGTTATTAAAGCGGATATAAATGTATGAATGGTTTTGCAATTTGCAAATAATTTGTCTCTTTTTCTACATTTATATAATTGTCTATAAATTGTGATAATTATGTAAACACTGAATATTTGGTTCATATATTTGAATGCATTGTATTTTTATATATTATTACTATTATCTACTGTTTGATACGATTTATACCATTTACTAATTGATTACAAATGACTGACAATAAATTGAAAGACAAGAAGAATAAGAAGAATAAATTGGTAAGTATTGAGACAATAGGATGTGTTGAATGTGACACTCATATGAGTGATTGATTGATGTTGTGTTTGACAGCAGGATGTGTTGACTGGAAGCGTTAGTACAGTGTTTAGCTCCAAATCCAAGAACAAGAGTGCAAACAATAACAGCAGCGATGGCTCTAATAACCAAAGCGGTGGTTACGGCGGCGGCGGTCACAACACTGGCACTCATTTGGGGCTCAACTGGCGGACAGACACTCAGCCATCACTTAACAGACCCAATAGCGAAGAATTTGGTACTAACTATGAGGTGAATGCTATGACAGGCGGTGATGAGAGGCACATGTCTCTACCAAACTTGGATCAGTTGACTGACGACGACATTAACATTCAGTTTGAGTCAATGCTTGTAAGTGTTAGCGTTTGTTGAATGATATATCAATTGAGTGATGGTTTTGTATCGAAAGGATGACATGAATTTGACTGAAGAGAAGAAGAAGCCTTTGAGAGCGAGTCGTATGGAGCAGAAGAAGTCACTGCTTGGGGCGCACTATAAGCAGAAGTTTGCGTCCAATAGATCCCGATTTGTGACACCCAATGATTACGTGAAGTTTCTTCAGGAGAATACAGACATTTCAAGCGAAAAGCTCTACCGTTGTATTGAATCGTTACGAATAGAGTTAACTAATAAACCCGTTTCGTGGGTCAAACAATTTGGCCAAAATCAAGGTCTTCAGTGTCTGCTTTCGGTTCTCAAAAATTGCTACCAATGCCAGGGCTCGTCCGCACGACAGGCCCATAAAGTACAGCACGAGTGCATCAAATGTCTTAAGGCCCTCATGAATAACACGGTATTTACTGTATTTGTTTGATT